TACGAGATTTGGGCCTGAATGCCTGCAGTTTCAGCCAAGTTTCTCCTACGTTTCTTGTGCTCAGCTTTGGTTACAATGATGGTAGCCATGAACCATCATAATCGGGCATTACATACATTTTCTTTGTCGTTTATAACAATTTATCTATCGCATATTGTAAAAGAATATTTAAACCTTCCAATTTTATCTTAGAAAAACTTACTATAAATCGCCTGAACCTCAATCTGTCGGCTGGCACTTCCCACAGAATTTATCGCCTCACAGGTCCATCTGCCCATATCCATCAAGTTTACTTGAAATATCTTTAAACTACCGTCGCTTTGAAATGAAATGCGTTGCTCAGACCCTGTGACTGTCTCTCCATTTGGGCCGGTCCATGTGACTTCCGGTTTGGGAATACCGGAAACTAAACATTCTAATGTCGTTGCATAGCCAAAGGTGAGGTTGCGTTCCGCTGGCTTTGTGGTGTCGATCTGCGGAGGGTCTATGGATTTCAATTAACTTCATTTAGTTTTTTGTTTGCGATATTTAAACAGGTTGGCCCAGTTCGCCTTTAAAGCTGGTTTGAGTAGGAGGCCTACCGGACGAGGAGACAACATGGACTAACCAAGCGCAGAAACCGGAAACACTTTTAACGAGCCTGAAGGTCATATACTACTAATATTATTGGAAACATTAGCCTGTCTTCTTATCAAGGTTCAAACGACTAGCACATTTATGTTGCAACGTAAGCATCATTAGAACAAGAGAGATGGTACGTTTTGAGCTTGGTAAAGAAATGTAGAAAGATGTTTTCGTCTTGTCATGAGTGTGATTTTCCAGAGTCTCTGTGGCTCAGTGGTAGAGCACCGTAGCGCGGAATCCGAAGGTTTGAGGTTCGATTCCTCATGCTGTCTCAGAATTTTTTCTTTGTCCCATGCTCGTGACGAGACAAAAAACAGATTTCTCTATAAGGATCATTTGCCTCCATATTTGTGCATGATACTTCCTTCGGGCTTTACCCCAAACCCATGTGAACGAGATCTCGAGCTTATGATCTCAATTTTAAATGTAACGAATATCGCTTACCAAAAATCCTAACTTTAATTGTTTCAGTGGTTTCCCGTCGTCTGTTCAATTGAGATATTCTCACTTTATAATCTCCAGCATCTTCGGCGGACACTTTACTAATTTTGATGGTTCCATCGGGTAGGAGACGAAATCGACCTGAGTTTGCGTCAAGTTTGACTCCATTTTTCTGCCAGAGATACTCCGGAGCCGGGTACCCAATCTTGACACCGACAAATATCTCACCTTCTTGGTTTAACCATAAGTTTTGAACGTCTGGAGGATCCTCCACAGAAACTGTCGACGCAAAATTAGAGAGACCTTTAGGTTTAAGAAGGCTCCATAGGGTTTTTTTGACCGCACGAGATCTGAGTGCGAACATAGTATAAGCTTTAAAACATGCAAAACAAACATGGCGGCTCGATACGATCACACAATTGTTATCAATAAAATTGTGTTAAAAACAGTTTAACACAATACATTTTTTTGGGCATCCGTAATATTCATAGGCCTAGTACGCCTGAAAAAGAAATCAAACGAAAAGAAACACCATGGGAAAGATTGCCAAGAGGCGACAGCTTCGGAAGTCTACGCATGCTCAGATAGGCTTTCAAGAATATTGATTTTTTTTAGTGTTCGGCTTTCAAATTTGTGCCGAAATTTCAGGGATGGAAAAAAAATTCATCCTCTCGGCAGTGGGATTTCAATCCTAAACAAATAACCTCATTGTGATTCGTCATTTTTCCCCTGACAGTTTGCCAGTTCACGTTTATAATCCTGGGTTAAGAGAGGTACTTTAAGAATAAAATGGCCCAATAAAATGGCCCAATAAAATGGCCCAATAAAATGGCCCAATAAAATGGCCCAATAAAATGACCAAATAAAATGGCCCAATAAAATGGCACAATGAACCAGCTTGGACTCAAAACTAGACTTCTCTATCTGTAGTTGTTTCCAGCATATTAGCCGCAAGGAAACCGTGTCCAAATCAGACTAATTTCCGCAGAAACTCAAGCACATTCCTCATTTTTTTGGTAAGAATTTAAAATATCTATCAAGGTTTATTTTTTTCATAAATCAAAAGTTTACTGAACTCTTTTGAATAGAATTGCAATATGCTCGCCAATAATCCTCTTGTCAATGATTTTCTGAGGAAACTTGGCCCGTTCTTTCCCTTATGTTTTGATCAATGCTTTTTCAAACCCTTGCCATTTTACAATGGAAGAATGGCTCCTGAATGTTTTTCTATTATTAGATCGTACAGCACTTACATTCGACGTAGAGCGAATAAGTTGCACTCGTTTTGGTTCCACGGCAAACGTATTCTCCACCATCAGATTGCATAAGCCTGCGGATTACAAGCGAATAGCTGTCATCTTCGTCCTCCACGTACATTCTGTGGTTGGGACTTGTGCCAATGATTTGTTCCCCAGTTGATTTAAACCAACCAATAAATTCCTGTCCACTCACAAAACATATGGCTCTGGTACTCTTGTCCATTCCGGCAACGACAAAGTCTGTGCGGTGAGAGAGTCTTACGACTGGCTCTGTTGAAAGAAAGAAGAAATGGTCGTGAATGGAGCTGAAAAACGTTGAAGTTTTTCGGTAAAATTGGAAGAACTTTTTCAACGAGTATTGCAAAGCGAGACAATAATATAAATTTGTCAATGCGAAAAGAGAGCTTTACGCTTGGTTTTGGAATATAATCCATTGGAGAATCGTCTATAGAAATAGCTGGGTTGTAAACATGGCCAACCACATACGAAAAAATACAGACCTTGGGCACCTGATTTGTTCCATTTTGTGATGTCCTCGATAGAAATAGTGAAAAGGAACTGCATCAAATACGTCAAGCTATGCTAAATCATCAAAATTTCCGCACAAGATATAAGAGAAAAGGAAGGTTTTTCTTTTGACGTGATTCATTTAACCTATCTTTGTTTTGTTTTCAGAAATTCAGGATTGCATGAGGTGAAGTTTTCCGGGGAAGTCTCTAGGAAGTCTTCATTTCGTGTATTCGACCCAGTTTTCCTAACTCGCCCCGACATAACGAACGTGGGTTTTCAAAACTATTTTAAATTGCCCATAGGTAGGAAAAAAACGTATATAAGTTGAAATGTATGAGCTGTTACCCTCTTGACTCGTACTTTGCACTTCAGTGTCCTTTGTGGGTTCTATTCTTGCTATTATGGCCTTCGTTCGCCCAGACATTTCCTCCGACAATGGTCCAATTCCATGTTGATTGCCAGCTGATACTGCAAACAAGTACTCCGTGTCCGGATTAAGGGAGTCGACCGTGACTGACTGAACGTACTGCGGCACTTGGATTATTCTTGTAAGCCCGCCTGAGAGAGAGAAGAAGATCAGTAACAGAAATGAGCTACAACAGCTAAAAATCACCACGATGTAAGCGAAGTGCCTTCGCCACCATCGGTATCTTGTAGACACTGTGTTCGAACACTGCTTAAATGACAATACAGGGTTATGAACAAACATATTTGTCCAGGAAGCGTTAGCCTGGAAATACAGACGCCTCTTCAGGCCTTTTGTATCAGAAACTGTGAAAGTGGTAAAGGTATGCTCTCACAGGCAGGACTTGGACGTAGGACTTGCAGGATGCATTGCAATTAGTTACAAGTTAGAGGGAACCAGAGAAACCCTCTATATCGCGTTACTGATAATACTTCAATAAAGATTTTGAGCATTTCTAAATTGGAAATTTTCAAGACAGAGAAGACGCCTATCTACCGTCCAAACTAGCAATCATCCAAATTTCAAGGTTATTTGGCGTAAATATACCTATACCATAAGTGTATCACAGTACAATAATGATTATCCATCAAAAATGCAACTGCATGAAATCTTGCTTTAGTTACACAGACAGTACTTACCCCCACTGACGTCGATAACTTTGACTCTGTAGAACAAAATGTTTGCGCGTCCCTCATGTGGTGGCATCCAGGACACCTCTAGCTCCGTTTCCGAGATGGTTTTGGAGGATACTTCGATTGGAACGCCAGGAAGAGTCACGGGAGATCTTATGGAATGACTCTAAATAGAATTGAGGGAAGAAAAAAATAGTAAAGAGGGTTGCTCTCGAAAGATGAATAGTCGTTCGCAGTGAACAAATGCAATTTGGCAACTCAAGAGGAAGCAATCATTAAATTCAAGTAAACAAAAAATCGTATTGAGAAGGTTTTCAATGAAAGAAGTCATTTTATTCGGACAAGGAATACCGCAAAGGGTTTTGAGACATCAGTCATGACTACCGACAAGAAAGGGTCGTTTATGCGATTACACTCATAATCATGATCACGCTGTCGAATGGTATTACATACTTCTAAAATGAAAGTGGGCTTCTTTCTGAGTGTTCCGTGTTTTTATTATGAACGATGGAGCAAATAATTTTGTCACATCTCAGGAACGATTAATACTTTAAGACAAAGACTGTATACCTCCGTTGGAGTAGATGATGTTCCTCCCTCTTTCGCTGAATTTGTTTTCCCTTCATTAGAAATTGTCATCTTCTTTTCAGGATGTGTTACTGTGGTCCGTTCTTCTTTCGGCTCGGAGATAATTCCTTTGTAAGGAGAAGTTGAAAATTCCTGCCCTTGTGGTATAGTTGTTACCTGCTCACTTGGTTCAGAGCTTGTTCCCTCTTGTTGTTTCTCGGAGGCAGGTGGCACAGCTTCTGTTGCAGAGGTGGTTCCTGCTTGCTGTAGAAGAGATGTTGTCCCTTCTTGACGTGTTGCAGATGTCGATCCTTCTTTATTTGGTGCTGAAGTGGTTTTTATGAGCTCTGGTCCGGAGGTTGTGGCTTCTTGACTTGATGGAGATGATGTCATGTCTTCGTGTGACTCGGGGGTCGCTCCTTGATGATCCGGCGCATATGTCTTTCTTCCTGGTTGTGGTGACAGGGTCGTCCATTCCAGCTCAGGCACTGAGGTAGATGCTCCTTTTTCAGGTAAAGTGGTTGTTGCTTCTTTGTTAGGAAGGGAAGTTTCTTTTTCTGGGTCTTTTGCTACTGGGTCCAGTTCAGAGGTCTTTGCCTCTTGGCCAGGTGAAGGTGTTGTTTCCTCTTTACCTGTATTTGTTCCTTCCACCTCTGGTTTAGAGGTAGGCCTTTCGTGTTCAGGTGCAGATGTCGTCGTTTGTAGGTCCACGGCGGATGCTGTACTTTCTTGGATTGGTGAAAGAGTGGTCATTTCCTGTTCTGCCTCCTTAGTGGTACTTTCTTCGTTGGTGATAGAAGTTGATCCTCCATGAAACGGACTAGTTGTTGTTTGTTGTAGATTCAGAGCAGAGGTTGTTATCCGATGATCTGGTTCAGAAACTGTTCCATCTCCTTCCACAGTTGACCTTGTCATAGTTCCTTCTGGTTTAGCCGTTGTTCCTTCTACACTTGGCGCTGAAGTTGTCATCTCTGGGGAAGCGGTGGTACCTTCTTGATATACGGCGGATGTCTTTTCCTGCTCTGTAGCAGGTGTTGAAACTAGGAAAGGAGTCGATGCAATATCCTCTCCATCTGTTGCTGCAGATGTTGTACCCTCCTCATCTGGCGTAGATGATATGTCATCTTCATCTATCAGAAACATAGTTGGGAATATTTCCTCCATCGAAGAAGTTGTCTTTGTTTCTTCCGGTGTGGTTGTCGGTATTCCTTCATCAGACGTTACTACTGTAGACGTTGTTGCAATCGTGGTCGCAATAGTAGTAGGTGTAGCTTGCACATCTGGTTTAGTTGAATACAAAAGGATGAACAACATTAAATGGTGTTGTGTATTAATGAAGAATCATAAGCATAACACTTTAAGTAAGAGGAGCGTGTTGGCATCTATACTGGCACAATGTTAACCTGCGAGAGGGCCCTCGTCACGGGTCTTCCGGCCCTAGGTTTCCTCGCTCACGGAAAAGAATGAGGCTTGAAGCAACGTAAGCCAGCGAGAGGTCGGCGAGGGGTCTGGCACTGATATCAGAGCCAGACTCCCGGCGAATCTCCCCCCAACTCGTCTCAAATCTCCCCGCGGGCAAAGGTACGCGCATCCTGCAGCGCTTATAAAAGGGGCCATCTCTTAGGCAAGCACTATGCGGAAAAAGAAAGAAGAAGAGATACTAGCACATTGACATCAAGAATACAGCAATTGACCCTGATAATACTATAATGAATCCTAACCTCGAAACCTAAAGATTAAACTTGAGACCACGTAAGAACAGAACATAAGGAAGTAGTTGTGGACTTGAACCTGGACTTCTGGATTCAGGATCCAGCATGCCGCCCACTCGGCAACCACGTCCTCAACAAGCCGAATGACAAAAAAAATAACACACATCCAGACATACCTGATTGTTTAATGAAAACATGAGGAGGATAAGATAGATCCCGCGTGTATGGGAACTCAATCAGAAGACTCAAGTCAGTGCACAGATAACACGCTTGGCCTCCGCCCTCCCACCACTCGATTGCTCCACAGCCTTCATTGCAAAAACTTTTACATTCCTTAACAGTCGTTCCTCGGCTCATCAAAACTCTCCCCACTGGGGTGCACCAATATGGAGTGTATTCCTCCCATTCTGTGCCTGCAACTCATAGATTTGTCTAGTGAAGCTCACTATTTTTTCTTACCTTAATTAATAAAAGCTCTTAACTTCATTCGCCCAGGTTCGTTAGGTTTGGACACGAACTAGGCTTGAGAGAATTGACTTAGGAACTTTTTCATAACCCTAAGACTCCTTAGAGTGACCAGCATCTAATTTCTCTTTACAATGTCATTTTTAAGTCACAAATGAAGGTCATGAGGTGAAGACGCTTCTAACTGCTAAGTAAATTCTCCTTATCCGCTCCCTTGAAACTGTATAGAGATTTGAATAGAGAAAATCCCTATTGATGTCTGGGTGTAATGCGTTAAAAAGGGCATATGAAAACGTTTTGAATAGGAGCTCAGGATGAGCTCCTTCCGGTTTAAATTTTCATCGATTATTTCTCTTTACCAGCTTTTTTCAATTTGCTCCTGTTTTGCATTTGTCTAAGCACTACCTAATCTTGTACCCAGATCCTACCGTGTAACTGTCACCCTACCCGTGAAAGGTCTGGGTACCAGACTAAGTTCCACCCACACTACGTGAGATCATTACGGGAGGGGAGAGCTTTTTCACTTTACAGTGCTGAGAAAAATCCCAGCTGTTCTGCCGTCGTATTGTGTAATGCCAATAATGCTTAAAACATCCTACGAAAAAAACCGCAGGAATTCATTGCCAGTAGGGTATAACTATGTTACCATTTCAAAGCTGTGTTTTTATAAGCTGTTCTGCTTCAAAAATTTTTAATTTTTAAGTTTTTCTGTGAATATCTGACGTCCTTTTTCGCAATGAACGTGACCCTTTCCCGTGAGCGTAGCTCTTTGTGAAAGAAAGAACTTAGACTTTTCAACATTCAAAAATTGAGTATCATTCTCTTAAAACGTTTCAGATGTGGTGCATACATCAATTTAAGAGTCAACGCGTTTTCTCTATTTGGGAATGTACTGTTATTGTTAGCTTTCGGCTTAAAGATAAGTACATTATCTAAAGAAGATTATAGATATGAGTTTATTGCTAACGAGAGAGATAATTATTTCAATTTTCCTTCAAGGAGGTATTATTTTTTTTGTTTTTCACGCTAATTAGTTTAGCAGTTGATTTATAATTAGACGTAAACTTTTTACATGAAGTTGCTAAACCTCAGCTGCATCGGTCATTTTCTTTATAAACAGATGCACATCTCAGTTATTCAACGCATCTTCCATGTCATATCTGTGAGTATTCGTGTGTTACTGATATCTGTTAAGTGGCTACTCGACGGAGATGCTTGGAATGATAAATTTACCCGACGCCTTCACAAATTACTTTGTGATAAGCAGGATAGAGGTTGTTCTCGTTAGAAATTTTTCACTTTTTCGTTTTGGGACACATTCGATGATCCCCTCGGTTAGAATCAGTTAGCGATGCGTGAAAATATAACTTCAAATGAAAGCGAATAAGAAGAGGGACAAAGAGTAAAACATTTTAGCCTTTTAAATGGATTCACCCATTATTTCCTGAAACTTGTTTTTAAGTTGCAAAATCAGACTTTCTCCCGCCGATATGAGACTCAAATAAGCAAGAGAATACCTCAACAAATTAGTCACACTTTCATTAGGTACGGAACGTCTTTCTAAGTGATCTTTGCATACCAGAGGCAAAAGGTTTTGATTAAATTGGATTGGAAAGCTCGGTATAAACCCAGAAACCGCAGTATAGTGCATTTATTATTCATAAAAAACAATGTTCGCCTAACCAGCTCACCTTGGGTCCTTACGACGGATGCAAGAGTTCCTAAAACAACGACCAAACACAACACAAACGTCTGCGCCATGGCGACACGTAAATTCTTGTACATGTGTTTCTTCCCACTGCAAACAAAGCTAGACGGCGGGTGAGAAAATTCCGGAAGGAAGTTTCACCTCAGTAAAATAGGTATTTCCTTAGCTAGGCGACGCAACTTGAATTAATTGCCTGAGGAATAAAGATGGTAGCCAGCGACCACTAACCGCGGAAATGTGGCAAAGATTCGATCCATTCGGCAATTTAATCCGTTCATTATAATATCGCTTTCCTCCACAAATCCAAATTATGCCGACATGGTGTAAACTTTCGCTAAATGGGAAGCGGCTAGCATACTACAGCTATGTTTGTTTTACACAATTTGTGCTTTTATAAGCCATGGAGTACGTTGTAAACTTACCACTTAATCGAACTTAATTGTTTTGAGTCTAGACATTGAAAATTACTCCTTTACGGGAATCTTTATGGCCGACTGCATTTTATCTGTTATCATTTTAGTATTTGAACTTATTTCCTTTCATTTGAACTGATGGGTTAACAGTCGAGTCATACTTCATATTTTTTTTTGCTCTGCCCAACCTCTTGACACAAACGTTGAAACGAGTTCGAGCTGACGTATCAATCCATATCAATTTCGCCTTGCAGATGTAAAATTGTTATAAACCCATCAACGATAAAATGGTGTGAACAGCTGTATACACTCACCCAAACCAATTATGCTCGGTATTTCGGTGAAGAAATCTTCTCGGATCCCAGTAAATGCCTATGCCCGCAATGAAAGCTTTTTAAAGGGAATAGCCTTTTAAGGCTTGGTGCCTAGATAACTTTCTGTTAGAAATTCAGTTTGAAATATTTCTCCTTATTGCTCATGCAATAAGGGGAAATACTTCGGTGCAGAGCCTGTGCCGTTTTGATAACATGCTGTTGTAGGCTTTTATTGACATCAAATATTGCAACACGGTTCTGGTTCCATCTGAATTTTCTATCATATCTGCTTGCTTCGGTTCGAGGTTCTTATTGAGTCAACTAAATCTAGTTGGAATCATTGTTTGGGTCCAATAACGTGACTGGTCTATTTTGCGAAAAAAAAAAAAAAAGAAAAAAAAAAGGGTTCTTCGCACCGGTCACGAAAACTTACAAAAGTCTCTGAATTCTTCAGTTTTATTCGAAATAATCTCTGCCTACCACAGCTTGAGCTTATTGGATAGCTTTCTGATAGGGATACTCAACTTCACGTCCAAATATTCATTACAGCGATGTAAATGTTTCCAACATCTCAAGGAAAAAGAGAAGGAATGTTTACTTGTACCCAGTTTCTTACGGCTGAAAGTGCCAGGTTGCAAAGCAAATTCATGAGCGATTGAAAATAACCTTCTCTCCAAATTGGTCAAGTTATTTCTGCAAAAAACCTTCAAAATTCTCTATTAATCTACTGGTTCAGGTAACTGTATATATACGATACCTTTATGAGTGGCTAATACTCCTCTTTATGGTGCTTTTTTGAGGAAAATGTTCGTATTTTGAACCACATTCATCAAAGTTGTTTACCTTGGTCACTGGTTGCTGTTGGTTGTCAAGGACAAGAGAGATTTGCATTTGAGGCGAAAGGCGGCTGAAAACATCGAATATGAGGTTCAAGACTCACGTATTAAAAGAATCAAAACGTATCCTTTTTAATCAAAATGCTAGTAGGTAAAATATAAGATAGACGAGACGTAGATCACGCGCAGACGTACCGTAAACACCGGCAGATTTGACTCAAGCCCTACCTCTGGATAAGCCGATGTACCTTATCGTATCATTTTCCTTATGCTGACCAGAAATCACAACCAAATTGCGCTCCACTCAGTTCAAAAGCCATTATATATAATAATTTAAAACTTTAGTCGTAAATCGATTTTAAAGTGCTACACCTTACGTTAAAACGAACTAGAAAATAGAACCTTTACTTGACTTTGTTTCAACATTTCGATTAACTAAGAGTTTACCATTGGTTACAAAACGTCTCCTCTGCATTTGTATTATAACATTCTTGACCAACGACAACAGATAAGGATCTTGTAAGTTGTGTCGGTTGGACATCAGCTGATGAGCTGTTTTCTAGTGGGTAGGTTAATTCACATGTATTAGATGTGATTGCTTAAGAAATCCACCATGAAAAAAGATAAAAGAAAAACAATGGTGATGCACAGGGACACCCAGAGCTCTAATTGCTTGCACTCCACTATGAGGCAAGAAGTTTAAGTTTGAGTACTTCTCTGCACCTGGGAGAACAAATGGGCACTTAGGTGAACAGAGTCAGGGAAGCCTGATGAAATGCTGAGGGATAACCTACAATGGACTAATTAATATTCAATCCAGGGGGGAGCAACAATGCTTCTAGTCACTTCATGCAACAGGAACTGAAATAAGCTCCCACAGGATGGGGTACCTACTTGGCTTGAGTACAGACTTAACCCTTACCTTCACCGTATTCAATTTTATGATTCTTTCAGGTGATATAATTTAAACCAATTCATAGCTGAATTGTCTTTTTGATCTCTAACAGAGATGATCACAGCATATTGAAATGGAATCTGTTATCAGATGAAACCACACAGGTAGGCTTGTTTCATTCCCAGTGTTAGAAAGTTTATTGTCATTCCAATATTGTTGGTAATTAATGAAAGGTTCTTAAACTTAATGTGGATTTTTTTCTCTGTCAACCTTTCTGGTGGTTGTCTTTTAAATAGGTCATGAAATTGCCAGCAGAGATCTTTCCAACTGACATACACTGGTTTCCACGTGGCGCTGGAGGCAAAAAACAAAGCCAGTCAGAGCTTTTTGTCCTCACTTCAACAGATGGTAAGCTCATTTGTAAAGACAAGGTCACATGACTGCTTCATACGGGTCATCCAGTGGGTGACTTTTTTTGCAAATTTATCAGTAGTCACTGAACATGCTCCTAACTCCAAAGTTCAAACTTTAAATTTGCACCTTTAACCCTTAAACACCCAAAAGTGATTAATATTTAACTTCTCCCTATAATGTTCATTCATCATCCAGCAAACAGGTAATGAGAATACTCCAATCCAACATCAAATTCTCGTAATTTATTTACATATACAAAGAAATGAGGGAGAATCAAGAATCAGATCTCAGGAGTTTAAGGGTTTAAGAAGGAAATAAAGGATATTTTGTATTAAATTTATTGGGTGTATAACCTGTTATTTGTCATTTTCTATAGGTAAATTCCACTTGATATCTCGGAATGGTCGTATTGAGAAATCTGTTGAAGCTCACAGGGGCGCTGTACTGTCTGGAAGATGGAGCCTTGATGGATCAGCAATGGTGACAGGTTTGAAAGGCCTTCCTTATTTTAGTGCGCCATTTATATTTGACTGTGTGCTTGGTTGCCAAGCCTTTGATTTGGAGTGATGCTAAAGCTAGGTGACCTTATTGTGATAGTGACCAGTTATAATCTAGTGAGCAATTGATAACAAAGCAATTTAGCAGCAACGTTTGTATCGTAACATGACCCTTGCCTTGACACGCCTGTTCAAAGGCTTGGCAACCAAGCATGCAACTGTAAAATGGACTATTATTCACCTGAATGCAGACTACATATATCAGAGTTTACTTTCCTAGCTAGCTGGTAGATTGTCTGGAAGAAAACTCTCAAATTACCATTTGTCAACAAAGTATGGTTGTAAGAGGCACTTGAGAGCAATATATTGATTTTGGTGTGCTTCACCCTGTTTGAACTGTGTCTTGTAAAATAACACAGAAATGTTGAGGCTGCAAACCCATTTCTTGGCTGGTTGTTTTACCTTTGGAGAGCAAAAGTAAATTTAGCAGCAAGGAGATAATAAATGCCTATTCAAACTTAAAGCAATTAATTCAGAGTATATCTTTAAGTGTACTGCTATTAATTTTATCTTTGGATTTTTTTACCAGTTGGAGAAGATGGCCAAGTAAAGATATGGTCTAGGAGTGGAATGTTAAGATCAACATTGGTTCAAGCAGGTTTGTGCACAAAAACTTTAATACAATGCTGTAAATTTTTGGTGCCTCACAGGTTAGGAATAAGCTGAGGCATAATTTTATTTGAATGGGTTTCTCCCTCCACCTGAAAGGTATACAGCCTTGCATGTAAAACTGGTTCTTGGAAGATTTGACCAAGGCACTTGGGGCTCAACCTAAAGGTTTGGAAATTAGTATTTCAAGAATAGTGAAAGTCTAGGTGCCAAAATCCTGAAAATTTCAGCCAAGATCATGCTTGTACAATTGAGTTTGACTTGCCTTAATTACAAGCTATGCTACAGTGGTAATATGTTTTGGTAATTGTGTTTTCACAGGGACCCCAGTATATTCTGTATCATGGAGCCCAGACTCTGACCAGATTCTTCACACAAGTGGAAAGCAGTTAGTGATTAAACCTTTACAAGCTGCTGCTAAACCAGTGCAGGTATTGTTTGTAACAACCCAGGTAGAAATCTTATTAAGATTCTCCTTAAGATTCTTAATAGGAATCTTAATAGGATCTTAGCAAGATTCTTATAATAGATCTTATCAAGATTCTTGTAAGATTCTTGTAAGATTCATGTAAGATTCTTGTAAGATTCATGTAAGATTCTTATGAGATTTTTGTAAGAATCTTACAAGATTCTTACAAGATTCCTTTAAGGATTTTATTAAGTTTCTTACCAAATCTTATAAGATTCCTGGCAGGATCTTACTAAGATTTTTAATAAGAATCTAAACAGGATCTTACCCAAAATTCTTTAAAAATCTTAATTATAAGATTCTTGTAAGATTTCTATAAGATTCTAACAAGATTCTTACAGGTATCCTATAAGATTCTTACAAGATTCTTATAGGATTCTTATAAGATTCCTACAAGAAAATTTCTTAAAAATATTTCACCGATTCTTGTAAGAATCTTATTAAGATCCCTTATAAGATCTTATAAGTAACTTAAACAGAATAACCTCCTCTTCACATCTTTTTTACAGCACCATAACATTTCCATATAACAAGAGTCTTAGAAAGATCACCCAATAAGATCTTATTAAGATTCCTAAAATAATCCATCTAACTAAGAATCTTATTGAAAAATTGATGAGATCTTTTGAGATTTTCAAAATATCAAAAATCTTTATAATGAGATCTTATATCTTATTAAGGATCTTGTAAGATTCTTAAAGGATCTTATAAGATCTTGTAAGATTTTATTAAGATTTCTACCTGGGAAGCTGATAACTTAGTTTGCACCTTTAGCTTACAGAATATTCTAACCCGTTATCTATTAGTGACTGGTATTTAAAATTAAATCTATTTGGAGTTAATTTACTCATGTCAAAGTGGTCACAAACCAGTGATATAAAACTCTTTGAAGGAGTGCAGCCCTGATCAAAGGACAATGAACATATTTGCTACGACTTTGATGTACATCTATATACTAGGTAGTTTGGGAGAGAACAACTGTAGAACAATTGTTATGTTATGTCCAGCGATGTGCCTGCTACTTCTGAGTCATTGCTTTATGATGCACAACAGATTGAGCATAATATTTACTTCAGTTTACCTAGAAATCCCTTCACTGTATTTATTTCAAATTAATCTCATCTTTTTTTTTTATATATCTCATAACATAGTGGAAAGCTCATGATGGAATTGTGTTAAAAGTGGACTGGAATCCTATCAATAACCTGATCATATCTGGGGGAGAAGACTGCAAATATAAGGTAATTAACATACAGGCTTTGATTTATATTCAACAAGGAAAAAGACAGATATGGCCTTTGCTGAAAATGCTGAACAATTATGAAGGCAAGGAATAATTTTCTTTGTTATCATTGGTTTCCTGTTAGGTCTGGGACAGTTATGGCAGAGTGTTGTATTCCAGCATGTTGCATGAATATCCTATTACCAGTATTTCATGGGCTCCAGATGGTAAGTTTCTTTTTATTTTGGACTTTTAAACAGGTATTGAACAGACATTTTGCTTTTGGTGTCAAAACTCTGCAGTCACTTTGTCTGAGATTTCATGTCTGTCGTCAAGAATAGATACACATGAACGATAAATGTTACAAAGTAACTTAATGTCTTTATCTCTCTTTTGTAGGTGAACTCTTTGCTGTTGGGTCTTTTAATACTCTGAGACTCTGTGACAAAACTGGGGTAAACTATTTTTAAATTAAATGTTGATTTAGCAGAAAAAGAAATAGAAAATTAAATGATTATACTCCTACAGACTAAATCCTCTCAATTCAACCAATGTCATCAATACAATACAGTGTAACAATATTTCAAAGAAAATATTGGAACCTCTTTGCTAGTTTATAAAATATGTAAAGTATACAGGAAAACAACTACTTATTACAAAGACAAGGTGCAGAATGCATGAAGTCTTGTTATCACTTTAATCCCTAAGAATGACCAGCATCTAATTTCTCCTCACAATATCACCACTGAATCAAACATTAAGGTCATGAGAATAAAGGAAATGATCACCAACTAAAGAAGCTATTGATTGTTAAACAAATTCTCCTTGTCAGCATCTTAGGAAATGTATAGAGAACAGTATGGAGAATATGCATACTGATGTTAAGGTGTAAAGGGTTATGAAAGGAGGTACATAATCTGCCGACAAGCTTATGAATTGCAGGATTAAACCTTAATCAGAGTTTCTAATTTTAAAATCTCTATTGAGCTCAGGTTTTGAAAGCTACTTTTCATATTTAATTTTGTTTTTGGTATTTATATAACAGCACAGTTTTGTTCAGCAGAAGAAGTAGTCTGTTTAAGTTGGCTAGTTCTGAATTTTTACCAACGGCAACTGAAAGCTACATTATGATGTGTTTTGTACCAATTACCACTGTGTTAATATTTGTCTACACTGTAATTCCTTCAGTGGTCATACACTCTGGAGAAACCCAATACTGGCTCAATCTTTAACATTTCTTGGTCAAGTGATGGAACACAGCTTGCTGGTGCTTGTGGGAATGGACAAGTTATCTTTGCTCATGTCATTGAAAGGTGAGCTGATCTGAAAGTGAGACATTGGAAAGTAATCTGCTACATTTATATTATACAGTTTACAGAGTCTGGAAATTGAGGCTTATTATCAATTGGAATTGTTCTGAACTGTTTCCTTTGGCAGACGTCTTGAGTGGAAAAACTTTGAAGTAACAGTAACAGACCGCAAGAGCATTCTTGTCAGAGATGTAATGAACGATGTGAAGGAATCATTAGGTAATAATAAATGAACATATCTTTGAAAGTAATTTTTTTTCAGATCCTTGACAATCTTGTTACTAAATCTTTGGTTTCCATGATCATTCGTAAGAGTGTGTTTTGCACTAAACAAGATCTTCACGATTCCTTTAGACTTCCGAGATCGTATTATCAAGACTTCATTGGCTTTCAACCACCTTGTTGTAGCAACAACATCTCAGTGCTACATATACAGGTTAGTTGCGTTGGAATGGTGTGGAGTCTTAATAATAATAAATGAACTGAGATCGTCATTATATATGCTGATATTTATCACTGATTTGACATATTTGCTTTTTATTTCACAGTGTCAGAAACTGGAACACACCAATGATATTTGACCTCAAGAATGGAAACATCACCCTCATTGTCCAGACTGAAAAGTAAGTACTAATGAAACATTTTCTTTTTTTCCACTTACTTAATTTCTGTGTTTAACAGTTTGGTGCTTGTTAAAAAACTCTCCCCCTATTTTTAATCCTCAATTGTATCTGTCCTTCAAAATCAAATGTTTGTGAGAGGCAAAATGAACACTCTGCTGCTCCTCAATAAGATGATTATGTGGGATAATTTTTTTGTTAACAATTACATACAGTTTACAGAAGGATGTCATCTCAAGAATCCTCAAGGAGACTGCCTAGTATATAAAGGGCTAACACTCAAAACGTGACCAATTTTTATTATCAACTCAGTTGATAAAACAAAAATTTTATCCACAACAATGATCATAAAGTGAGCTTTGTTGTTTTATTTTTTCAGACACTTTCTTCTAGTTGATGACTCAGGACTTCAAGTTTACTCATATGAGGTTTGTGCTTAAATATTTACACTGGCCAGTTTTGAGTCCTATGCATCTTCTGTACCTCTGATAAAGCCATGATAGTTTAAATAGCATCATAATTTATCATCATGAAACTCTTAAATTGTGTTTTTAAACCATTCATTGCATTTTATTTGTTTGATCTTGTAGGGTCGTTTGACCTGTGTTCCAAAATTTCAAGGGCTAAGGACTGACACCTTGAATGAACAAACTTGTACATTAAGCAATGATACACTTGCAGTCAAAGATCGCAAAGATGAGAAAGGTAATGTTGGAAATTACACCTTCAGTGAATTGAACTTCTAACTTATCAAGTCCTAGGGCTGTACTGGGGAATATTGACCTAAGGTTGTGGCAGTACACACCAAGCATAGCAAGGTCTGTAAAAAATTGACCAAGAGCCAACATTCCTCAGTACAGCTCAAGCAAGCCAGGTTAGTAAGTAGTTTGTTAAATGGCCCTAGGACTAAAGTTGTTTATTTAGAATTCTTGTGACCAAAAATACATAGTTTATGACTTTTTTCATGGAAAAAATCTGTACAGCAAAATATGGACAAGTACAAACCAATCAGATTGCTTGAACAGATTGCTTGGATTTACTTCAGGACTTCCTTGCCATAGAATAATCTATTATAATGCTACAAGGCATAGTGAAGCATCTTGTAAATGACTCAAGTATTAAGTTTGTTTGTACAGTTTCATTGCATTGTTGTTGCTGTTTTTTCTCTTTTTTTCAGTTATCCATTTATTTGAAACTCAGACAGGAAAGCCGGTTGGAAGTGGCCAGCCAATCCAACACTCTGTAAGTGTTTTCATTCTATGAATTATAGGAGTTGTAAATTGCATTTGGTTTTTTCCCAGCTCTCTATACACAAGCTCTAAGAGGACTTGCTCTCATCATTATGTGCACTGATGCAATCTTCTTCTGAGTTCACTCTTTTAAAGTATCATGCAGGTCGAGTCTTGTTAACAGATACTCTAAAAAGATCATAAGCAAACCTTGTTATAGTTTACCATTAGCCACTTCTTACAAATTGTTTGAATTATTTATTTTCTTTCTTTATTGGATTAACCTGCTCCCCTGGTGTCTTCTCATTCCAGCTGGAAGTAATGGAGATTTCTCTGAGCCAGTGTGGTCAGACTAGTGACAGGCAACTGGCCATTATTGATAAAAACAGAGATCTTTATCTTACACCTGTCAAACACATTGGTCCAGCTGAAAGATTGGTTAAACTTGGTTAGTACAACAGACAACTTACTTTGATTATTAATAATATTTGTGAATTATGGAAGTGTATCCAAATTTATAGACTTGATTAGAGGCTCTCTTCAACTGACATCTTTGAGAGGTAAATTTGAATAAACATTTTGTGACTGGGATGGCCTCATATAAAGTAAATACAAAATGTGAAATGACTCTTTTGGTGATCTGTGAGCAAGCAACATTACTGGGTAAATCCTATTTCCTGTTTGGTTTTCTGAGGAGATTGCTTGATTTCCTATTTTGCTCCTGCAGAAGTCTTAGGAATGTAGGCAAAAACCAAAATGGCAGATTTGATGAAATTTCATCAAAGCAAGTGATTGTTCAAATGAAGAATTTATGGAGTTGACAATTTTGACATATTGTTCATCTCAGCTCAGAACAATGCAAATTAACTGATTTCCAAAAAGCCTGACCTCATGCCTGGTTAGATAATTATGTGATTTAATATCATAAATTAATGTTACAATAGTTTTATGAGGATTTAGCACCCCAGATGTTATCAAGGCATAGTATTTATTCTTTTATCTAAAGTTACTCTCCACTGGCAGACACCCTTTTTGTGGTTAATTTGAGTCTTGTTTAATTTACTTCTCTTTTAATCTAGGAACAATGATAACAACCATGGCATGGAATGACAACACAAACATGTTATCAGCATTCCAGGATGGTAGATTTATCGTTTGGTACTATCCAAGTGCTGTGTACGTTGATCAGGATATCCTGCACAAAACACTTCTTGAGAAAGATTCCAGGTAAAGAAAAAAATATCCCTGCCTATACTTAAAAGTCAAAAACACCTTTATCATTTTAAAGGGGGTGGGTTGGCGCATGACTGATAAGTGCTCAGCAAAGTTTGTTTGCTTCTCACCTTTGTGGTGTGACTTCAAATCCTGTTTTCCCTCCTCTTCTATTTTGTAAACTGTTGTTGGTAATGCTCAGAAGTGCAGGTTTTAACCAAATAGATCCTAACTCTTGTACAACTCTGTTTTGGTTACATTCTTTATCATGGCACCTGTACAACCCCTAAAGCCCTCCTTTTGAAAATCAAGGGCAAAAAATTGTGGTATGAAGGCTGTATTTACAATAGGTGATGATGTAAGCTGCTCCAGAACAAGCTGTTCCATTCTGCGAGATACAAGCTTAAGTTTTTTAAAGAAGACAGTTAAAGTGATGTATGTTTTGACATCTGTCATTCTTTCTTTCATCTTTTAAAATGCTTATTGGCTGAGTTAAGTCAGGCACAACAAGAAAATATTTGGCTCTTGGTCACAACACAATCATGGACCTTGAGTTAAGTATTTTCTGTCCATCTCTTCCATCCAGTCAATAACAATCCCAGACACCCATGGATTTCAAAGTTATCAATTTTAGTATTATTTATCGATTCATTAATGATCAAAAACATTAAAAGCAATTTCACTTACTACCACACTTGGAATTAATTTGAACAGATGTTGCCCAGTTGCTGGTGATCCTGAAAAAAATTTAGAGCCATCTTAAGAAGTGGTCTGCCTCTGGAGTTGAATTGAATTACACTCTGTCATCATTTTTTTTCCCCCCATTTTCAGTGATTTTGGAAAGAACCCCCAGATTGTCAGCTTCCTGGAAAATCACTGCACAATGAGAAGAGCTGATGGCTCCCTGTGCAGTACAATGTGAGTTTTCTCTTCACATCAGTGCTATAAAACTAGACTAGTTCTCTCAAATATACTTTCCTGATTTATAGAAAATGAATCTTAACTATGCAACTTGTGGTGATGTATGGCAGTTCATCTGCTAGTGCTCACACAAACTTTAAAATCCAAATATCAGGTCTTTATCTATAATGCAATATTAACCCTTTCAGTCTCAGAAGTGATTCACTTGTAACTTCTCCCTACAATATATATCCGTCCACTATCCAGCAAACAGGTAATGAGAGTATATACTCAAATGTATCAGGTAGTTGTCACCTTGATCTAAAACCAAACTCTTGCAACTAATATAAGAGTAAATGTGTAGCAGCTAGAGGAGAGAATTAACAATAAGATCCTGGGAGTTTAAGGGTAAACACTGCCTGTAAGTTGAGCTTAAGGATGAATTTTCTTGAGGGTTGTTGTTTGGTTGTTTGACAGAATTTCACCATATCCTTCAATGCTACACAAGTATGCCAGTGAGTCAAAGTGGCAAGATGGTATTCGACTGTGCAGATTTGTAAAGGTAAATCAATAATTTTTAAATCATTAAAATGATTATTGATTTCATGCCATTTATGTGTGATAGTCCAAATAGAAACAAATATGAATTTGAACGTAACAAATCTTTGCTTCTGAAGAAAGGACTGTCACAGTAACAAACTATAATCTGGACTTGATTAAGAAAAATTGACAAAATTTGGATGGCCAGTCAAAACCATGTTCTTGCTATTTTTTCAGGACACTGTTTTATGGGCGTGTTTAGCGACAATGGCTGCTTATGCAAAGGATCTCAACACGGCAGAGACAGCATATGCTGCTATAGATGAGGTTAGTACTAAAGCTTCTTTTTAACACTTGAATGCCCAAGATCTCATCAGTAATTCTCCTTACTGTCTGCCACACAATTCTAATGATGCTTGTTCTGAGAGTTTGGTACGTACTGGACCAGGTAGAAAATCCTCAATCTTATATTTTTCTTCATTCTCATTAGTTATCTGATTGATATTATATTGATATAGTAAGGAGAAATTCTGTTTTGGTCACTCATGGGAGGTAAAGGATCAATATTGTGCTGTTATTGAGTGAGCTGCAGCAGGTCAGAACTGAGGGGGGTTGAAGCAGAACTGATGAATGGGCCAGGTGATTGGATTTGGGGAAGGAAAAAAACAAATGGGGTAGGGTGCAATGGAAGAACACTTAAAATCAAATGCCACAAAACTGCACAGAGTTGCTGAAAAAATATTGGCTACCAAACTACTTGTGGACTTCATGTTAGCACACACTCATGAGACATTAACTGCTGACCAGAAACACCTGCCATGAGGGTCTTAATGGGTTAAGCTTAAGCAGAAAAACAGCAAAAATTTTAGCCAATAGGCTTTAAATTTAAATATGATTTTCAAAAGTTAAGCAATCATAAAAATTTTTCCTCTGATCATACTAGACAGAAATTGACTCTTGGCTAAAATATGGCCAAATTTTTAACCATTAGTCATAAAAGTCATCCCCATCTTGAGAACTTCTGCCAAAGTTGTGGAGATAAACTTTGTCAAATTTGCCATCACTTTAATGTAAACTGTAGCCTCAGAAACCACAGTCAAACTTGTTTTCAATTCGCAGGCTGACAAAGTCCAATACATCAATCACATCAAGGAAATTCCTACTAAAGAGGGAAGGAATGCTGCCATGGCATTGTTCTGCAGACAGACTCAAGAAGCGGAGACAATCCTCCTACAAGCTGGACTTATTTACAGGGCAATACAGATGAACATAGATCTCTTTAACTGGGACAGGTATAGACTGAGACAGAGATCACTGTGCCAAAAGAGATTTTCCTCATTGATAGTCTTTCAAGTGCATTGAGCAAATGAAGTCACTGGGAAATAAGGATTAGATACAACGTAAACCCAGTTTTCTATCAACAAATGGATAGCCTAATATCTTATGTTTGCTTTCCTTTGTTTTATGACAGGGCCCTTGAACTTGCTGTTAAGCACAAGACTCATGTGGACACAGTTCTAGCACACAGACAGAAATATCTGGAGAACTTTGACAGGAAGGAAACAAGCAAACGTTTTCTTCAGTATGCACAAGGGGTAAGCATATACATCTTCTTTTAATTGGTTAAAGTTTCCTTTCTGTGGACCTAAATCCATTCGTGACACATTCTCACTGTTAAAATAGTCGATGTGAACCATATTTCCGACAAAGACTAAAATTTGTGTATGTCCAATTGTTCTGCAATCTAATATTAATAATGTACATGAAAAAATATGTGCTTCTAATTGGCTGAAAACAAGTGCATTCTCATGTAACATGGGTGCAAAGTTGAAATATGAGTGCAAATTACAAATAGCACAGGCACACTTTCAAAATTTGGCCTTTCTTGACTTTTGGTGATGTTTCTTCATGTTCATTTTAAACAAGTAATAAAATGATTTCTCTTGCAATTTGGTGCAAGAAGCACTTGAAATTTTTTCAAAGACTACAAATTAAATTGCACTCACCCTATGGGCTCATACAATTTACCAGTGCTTATTAACACCAAATTGCAAGAGAAATCATGTTACTACCTTTACAAACAACATGGAAATATTCTGTAATTGTCTAACGAGTGCCTTCTCAAGGGAGAAATCAGTTTTAACACTCATTAAAGTTTGATAAATGTGTCTTATTTACATGGTTCACCTGTATGTTACAGGTGGAAGTTGACTGGGACAAAATAAAAGCCAAGGTTGACATGGAGCTACAGAAAGAGGCAGCAAGGCCAGGAGCCAAGCCTTACAATGGCTGATGACGCTTTCATTTGACTGCTGTTAGTTTGATGTACATGTATCTACTGTAAATAGTTGTTGTTAGATTAGATGCAATGTGGATTGAAGTAGTTTTGCAGAGAACTTAGATCCTTTTTTATTGCTGAAATAGCAAGTTGATTGCCAACAAAGTTGTGTTCAACTCTTCATCTGTCACTGCTCTGCTGTTTTGTAGCAAATACAGCAAGGTGGGAGATGGAAGATTGGCTCATTAAATCCTGATTGATGTTACATCATATTAAGCCTAAGGTCCAAAACACCCTTTTATAATTATTATTATACAAGTGCAAGATGAATTTAGATTGGGTAACTGTGATTGTAAACTTAACCAGGAAGATAGAAAGATCAAGTTCGTAAGTATTTGTTCTCCTGTAAGCAGAATGCTGATAAACCTGGGATTCCTTTGGTCTCTAATGTGAGCTCTGTTAATAGCAACAACAAAAGTCTGTGGTAAGAGAAATTTTAAGAAGAATTTATCAGACTACAAACTAAAGAAATTACAAGGTCTTGTCACAAGAGTTGTAATTATTACAAGGAAGCAGATGAGAATTTAAAGAAAAAGTCGGTATAAGAACAGTGCAAGACAGACAGCATTAACACTTTAACTCCCATGAGTGACCAAGACAGAACTTCTCCTTACAACATCAATACAAGTGATGGGAATAACGAGAAGTATTACTTAAAGGATTGTTAGTTGATCCAACAACAAATTCTCCTTGTATGACAGGCAGTAAGGAGAATTACTGAATGAAAGGGTTTAGCCATGAGAAAGTTGTGATATCATTGGTGTTTGTTTTGAAAATTATCTAATACCTATTGTACACAAGCTTGCGAGTGAAATTCCAATATTCCTTTCTTTCTTTTGCAACTTTACCACCACATTTTGCTATGTATAATTGATAATATTATTTATTTATTATTAGTTTGTTAAAAACAAGAAGTACCTAAAGAAGGGTATCGGATATTTGCCCTGCTTCATCAACTTCATTGTAACTAATAAGCACAAAATAATAAACCAAGAAGATTCATTGTTCTTCGATGTCTTCATCCTCATTTCAGGTGAAAACTCAACTTATCACATCATTTCATGTGCTTTACTTGACAAAGGTATTGTTTAAAAATCATTTCAGTGACACATTTCACATTAAACAATTAACCTAGCTATTTATTTACAATTATTATTTTTCATGGAGTTTTGTTTCTGTTTTCAGGAAGTAACATTGCATAATATAACATTTAAACTACGTTTACAAAAATACAAAATGTTTCTGTTAAAGAAGTATTTTGACAATAACTAAATGTAAGTTTATCTTTCCTGCTTTTGAGTAAGCATATCAAGGGCCAACTGTATTCATCAAATTATTTGTTGAATGTTTTTGCCTCATAATGGGGAACATAACAGCAGCTTTGAATTCCAATTGTTGATCAGTGCCATGTGTTAGATGTCCATTTGATCCATGACCTGAACACTGACCTTTGACCCTGAACCATTCCTCACTTTTTTGTTCTTCCTTCTCAACTTTACCACATTTTTATTCCAATTTTTTTAAATTGTTGAACATCACGAAGAGGTGACTCCAAGCTCATCTAGAGATAAATTTTGTGTCCATTCATATAATTTGTCAGCTTGATCTTCCCAGTCTTCATCCTCAAACAAATCATCCTCAGGCACCTGTGTTGCTGGTGTTGCACCCTGACGACTTTCAGGCAGTTTTGGAGAATCCAGTCCAAACATTTTGCGCATTTTTGCAACCCTTGCTTTGGCTTGTTTTGACCTCCTGGCTGGGGATGAGATGGTGTAATCTGTTTGCGCTTTTTTCCTGGAAAGAAAAAAATTTCTTTTATCATTTGGGCACTGATTAGGTGATCAAAGGTACTACCAAGGTTAAGTCTATACTTGAGCTAATTAGGCCACTCAGCTGGAGCTTATTTCATATTCCTTAGCTTATAGCAACAAAAAGTATCACCACTCCCCCCTGGATAGGATATTAGTCCATTGCAAGGTTACCCCCTCTCCCCCCAGCATTTCATCAGCTTTTCCTGACCACTCGCCAGTTCCCACTTATACCCCAGGGTGGATAGAAGCACTGTGAGAGGAAAGTGTTTTTCCCAAGAACACAACACAATGACCAGATCTGGTCTCACACTCAGAACTCCTGACCCAGAGTCCCAGCACATTAACCATTAATCCAGGGGGGAGTAGTAATACTGTTAGTTGTTTCCCGCCAAGGAAATGGGGATAAGCTTCCACTGGATGGGTCTGACCTCCTGTGACTACAAACCTTACCTTTTTATTAAGGACTTTACATTACACACTCAGGTGGCAAGTAGGAGAGGAAGGTGTAGTAGAGACTGAGCTAAAAAGTGCATTACTGGTGTAATTATCGGAGGACGTCAATAACACTTGTATAAGATCATTTGAAAAGCTATGCCTAATATAAATTACAACACTCACTTTTGGGGGAATTAAACAACTTTGCCACTATACCTGTACAAAGGAATTGCCTTGATACTGGCCACTTGAATTTCCTGAGTAGCTGGTCTCAATGACAACAAGTCTGGACACTCCTCAAGCAGTCGCGGGGTGGAGATACCACATGCCACATAACTGAAGATATCGTGGACAATATTGTGCCTTGGGATAGCTACATTTGGACAAGATGAAAAGTGTTAACTTAATTTAAAGCTTGCAGGAAAAGTAAGACATAAATTTACATGTATCTATGGATTACACAGTAGAAATTACACTCTGACACAGCCAAATTGTTTTTATAAGTATAATATTGACAATCTTTACATATATACAGCTGTACAAGTAAACAGATGTTAATTTAAAGGAATCAGACTTTTACTTAAATAGAGAAACTCCCTTTGTAAGATAACTACCAATTTGTGAAATTGCACAAATTAAGAAGGGTGTTTTGCTGACATACCTTCAAGAGTGAGTCTTCTCCAAGTATTTGACTTTCCTCCTGTTGCGGCAGGACATTCATCTAGATGACTTAAATACTGTGAGACAGGAAAAAAGAACTTTAAAAATGAAATTCCACATTGCAAGTTGGTATAGTTATAAAATAATATTCATTTTTCTTAAATCAACATACAGTAGGATGAAATGATTGCCTATGAAATATGTCAGTGTGTTACTCTAGGGATCCCTTGAGCTTGGGCTTGGAAAGCAGCTATAGACAGGATAACTTGGAAACACTTTACCCTAACAGCACCTCTTTCAATCTCGGGTTAGAAATGGGTTGTACTGTACTGGCAGAGTGTCTAAGGATATTGACAAAGGGTTTGGACTGAGGGTTTAGAGGGGGGGGGGGGGGGGGGGTGAGTAAGCTTTGTAATACTTTAATTTGCAAAAAAATTCAATGAACTACAGACATAAAGCTGTAGGAAGACTTTCTGCATCATTCCTCATACCTGCATATAATCTTTCATTGTTGTTACATCAGTTTCATCAGTTATTCTGTCTTTCTCTTGCTGACATGTGTCAGCTATTAACTGATCATAGAATTTGCGATTTCCCATTAATCTTAGTGAGTCACAAGCTGCCTAGAAATAACAAAAAAATTACAGTATTAAACTAGATGACCACTTTTTATTGAAATTCATAGCCTTATACTGCAAATAGTCCCACACAGAAAGCAAATACTTTTAGTTACCTCTGAGGCAGGTTTGATAACCTTTTTCCCACAATAATACTTAACGCCATGTCCTCCACTGTGAATAAAAATCTTGAACAAAATAATGGGTGGAAATTCTGATCCTCCAAATCTGCAAAACATTTCATAGAAAAGCATAATGAAAAAAAAAATAAAAACCAACAATCATTGACCAGATTTGTCTCTATCTGTATGTTAACTGTAACTGTCACAGTTGTAAGAGAATGAAATCCATGGATCCTTTTTTTATCTTGCTGAATTGGCTAACTGGTTTCCCTGTGGTGTTTCATTGGGATTAGCTGATAAAGTATTTGATGTGCACCTTCACGTTTTGCAAAGGGTGATGGGAAGTCAATTATTTTGTTTTACTTGCATAAGAGCTACATTTCACCTAAATTAGGACATACATTGGTAACATGTTCCTTGCATCTCCAAGCTCTCTGTGTCATCATAGCCTGAATACTGTTTCCCACAGGAAGAAGTGTCTGAATTTTGTTCCCAAAAGCAGGGGGATGGGGTGGGGGAATGTTTGGAACAGGCTTCATTAGTCAATGGCTAGCTTTAAAATTTCAGTATGTCAGGAAATCGACTCACAGCCCCCGGGTCTCCGAGGATGGCAAGATGTGAACCAAAACTGATTCCAACTAGATTCAACTAGATACTATTCAATATAGATCTCTTTTGCCTTGGATTATTCGTAACGTAAACTTGAAAAAAATATAAAAAGCAACAACAACAAAACCAAAGCCTTCGAGCTCCCCGTACCTGAATCTCACTCGTGCTTGGATCACAGGATCACGCAGAAGGTCTGCTTCGAGTGGTGACACCTTTCTAAGCACCTCATACGTAAGAGAATGTTCCTGAAAAAAGGAACATCATGAATTCTACACTGGCAACAAAAGGAAGACTATTCTTTCACAGTGCAATCGTTCAGCGCACAAATCATATTTGAAGCTTGATTTGTACAAACTTACCGCCGCACATATTGCATATTTTAGCAGCTTGAACATTTGCTTGTCCCGGTAAGAACACCAGTATCGTTCAATCTTTCTTGCTGCTTCAATTCTAGTTAATCTGGAAATCAGAGAATGCATAGGACCGCTACAGCTCTCCTCAAAGTTATTGGCACAAAGCAAATCTGACAAAACAGCCTTTCTTGTCACCAAAACCCTACCGTGAACTCGGAGGAGCTTCGTTAAGATTTTGTCCCATTCTCTTAAACAATTCGAAAAATATAAATACGAAAATTGACCAGCAAACGCTAAAATTCAAACAGAATATCGCCCATACATGCAACTTAAATCGGCCATGTTTTTATTTTTGACCCAGAATGCAGCTGGTTGCCATGGAAGCGAGTCACCACTTACACTAGCGGTCAGCTGAATCTTACAGTTTTATCATGTATCAGCAACAACGTGTAACTAGTTCTCCACGAGTACAAGATGGCGGCCAACATGGCTATTCTTTTAGAAAGAAAATTGTTTTTCCGATTTCTCGGCGCCAAAAGGTATTGATTGACTCTCACTTCAAATTTGTCTTTTCTTATGTCAATCTTTTCTTTAAATATTGCCTTTTTTCATTTTATCTTTCCAAGTAGGAAGCAATTAGTTTGGAATTTTGGTTCCAACTATACTACTGGTAAGTTTTCTAAGTTTTGTAAATAATTCTGTAACGGTTACGTCTCAGTTTTTTAGCACTGTAGAGATAATTTTTTATCAAATATCAATTTTTTTGTGTGTAAAATACATGGATCTAACAGAGTTAAAAAAATAAAAAAAATAATAAAAAAAAAATTTAACAACTAGTTCAGTAGTGTTCTTAGCTGCAAGGATCTCTTAATTTCGTAGGGTTTAAAAATATTATTTTAATAAAAATTAATTAAGATATTTATGAAACTTTACTTCAAGTGTTATGATAATTTCAGTTAAATTGAAAACAACCAGAAATTTTGATTTAAACTCAGATTTCTAGCTTGATGTGTAATACTTTGTTTTAGAAACTACGTTAGATGTTTTTTTCCAATCTTGTTACAAAAACTAACTTTCAATGAGGGAGATTCATGTTTCTAAAGCGATGGGTGAATTAATTATAAAGAACTTGACGGTGATTCAGTTGGCACAGCTTAAAGTTTTCAAAGGGAGGTCAGAGTCATGAATTTCTGTGCACCCTTTATGAAGTGGTTTATACTACTTCCTTTTCTAGCATATTGGTAGGATCTGGTTCAGGATGGTGTCTGGTTTAAATTTCAGGCCATATTCAGGCTCTTGTCAGCCAGAAATTTTCATATGGGTTGATTCTACCAAACTGATGTTTGTATTTTGGCAATCCTGAATTATAAGACTTTTGTGTCATTGACTTAAAAAAAAATGCTTTCCCAAGGGAGAGGGGGTTATAGGCTCTTCAAATTCCTCCCTCCCCCCCTCAGTCACATTCCTGATATTGGTGAGTTGATCACTCTTTGGGTGTGTCTCCTCTTTAGGCCCGAGAGCAATTAAGAAGGTTGTCATTGCCAACAGAGGTGAGATTGCCTGTCGTGTCATGAAAACAGCCAAGAAAATGGGGATAAGAACAGTTGCTGTGTACAGTGATGCAGATGAAAATTCCATGCATGTAGACACAGTAAGTAAATTGTGTTAATTTTTACAAAATTATTCCAAATGGTGGTCAGTTACTCTTAGGTTAAAGAAATATTCTAGATCTGTGTTTTTCTAGGTCATGCCGTAAGTTGATTATAGAAAGAAGAGAAACTACCACTCTGTGATGATAATTGATGTTTTAGACAAAAGTTTTCATGGCAATTCTATTTTGCTAAATGCATTGTTGATCTAGAAAAAATATATCACAAATTTTACAATGATTTTCGATGCAGAAATAAGAACAAAGCAAAGTTCTCCACAACTTATAAATTAGATAAAAGTATATTTTTAACTGTACTTTTTAAATTTCTCAACTTTACTTTTAGGCTGATGAGGCCTTTCACATTGGGGCAGCTGCATCTCGAGAAAGTTATTTGAAAATGGAGAAGATCATTGAAGTTGCCATCAAAAGTGGAGCACAGGTATAAATCAAAACAGCTTAATGCAGTTTGATTTTGCTGGGAGTATCTGTGGTTTATTCCAGAGTCCAGGGCACCAGCAGTTATGTCACTACATATGTCTTAGATTTCTGGTATTTATGTTAACACCAGTCCTCTCTCTCTAATTTAGGCTATTCATCCAGGCTATGGCTTTTTATCAGAGAAACCAGAATTTGCTGAGCTTTGTGAGAAAGAAGGGGTAATATTTATTGGACCACCAGCTTCAGCGATCAGAGATATGGGTATAAAGAGGTAACTAAGAAGATTCACTATGACCCTTTAACTCTCATGAGTGACCAAGGCAGAATTTCTCCTTACAATATCAATACAATATCAACCAGATAAGTGATAAGAATTAAGAAAGATATCAATTTGGGGATAATCAGTTGATCCAATACTAAATTCTCTGAACTAACATTATATGAATTGTATGGTTGCCAGTAAGGAAAGTTAAAAATTTGATCAGGGATTTAAAGGGTTAAAATTACTTGAATTGCAAATTATTGCCTGCAATCTTGGTCTGATATCTTGCATTTTTTATTGCAGTACATCAAAGGCCATCATGGGTAATGCTGGAGTGCCAATCATCGAAGGTTACCATGGTGATGACCAATCAGATGAGAGATTGAGACAGGAGGCAGAGAAAATAGGGTAAATGTTTTTTGTCTTCAATCAAGTGTGGTTCTTGACTACTGTTCTCCTAAGTTCATATTCTTTGGCCCTCTTTTTTTATCCAGATATCCTGTCATGCTAAAGGCTGTCAGAGGTGGAGGAGGAAAGGTTTGTTTGCTTAGAAAATAGTGTAAAAATTTATTTTTATCTTTTCAATTGCAATGGTCAAAATAGTCCAGTTTACAGTTGGGTGCTTGGTTGCCAAGCCTCTTAACAGGAGTGAGGCTAAGGTTGACCTTGTTATGATACAAACCTTGCTGCTTTTCAAATGCAAATGACTTTGTTATCATGCTAACTAGATACTAGTCTCTATCACAGCAAGGTCACCTTCAGCCTCACTCCAAATCAAAGGCTTGGCAACTAAGTACCCAACTGTAAAATGGCCTATTCCTCATAATCATGGTCAGTTCTCCCAACTGCTTTGGATTCATTACATTCTGAAGCTCTGATCTTTTGAAACTTTTCCTAGGGGATGAGAATTGTAATGAAGCCTGAAGATTTTGATGATGCCCTTGAGTCAGCTAGAAGGGAATCTTTAAAGTCCTTCAATGACGACAACATGTTGGTGGAGAAGTTTGTAGACACTCCCAGGTATCTGGTTGCACTTGAGTGGCACTTCTGCTGCATAAGCCCTTTACACCCAAATATCAATATGCATATTCTCCATACTGTTCTTTGTACATTTACTAAGGTGCTGACAGGGAGAATTTGTTTAACATTCAAGAGCATCTTTAGTTGGTGATCATTTTATTTATTTTCATGAATTTAATGTGTGATTCAGGGGTGATATTATGAGGAGAAATTAGATGTTAATCACTCTTAGAGGTCAAAGAGTCAATTTAACTTTTGGAAAGGAAATGCTGAAAATTACAGAATTACCCCTTGACTCATTCTTTGTTTTTACTGATGCTGAAAAAAAAACTTTCCTCCACACTTCTCAAACTCATTAATAATTCATGCTGAGAAAACAATTGAAATTACAACCGTGAAGGAGGTTTGGATATGTGATCATAATTCTCATAAAATTTGGTTAACTTTTGCTTTGATTTTCTCCAAGAATTATCAATGGTTTGAGAAGCTATATCAAACATTCAAAAGGGTGTTTCATCTGAAATCCAAACACCCTGAAGTTGGTTCAAAAAACTTGGCCACGCCTCATTTTTTTAACCACTTCTTGGTGTTTGGATATAGGAAGAAACACTCTTCTTCGTGTTTGATATATTACTTGATTAACCTGCTTTTTTCAGACATGTAGAGGTTCAAGTATTTGCCGACACCTTTGGCAACACAGTGTACTTGTTTGAGAGGGACTGCAGTGTTCAAAGAAGACATCAGAAAATCATTGAAGAGGCTCCTGCCCCAGGTGTATCCTCTGAGGTGCGGCAGAAAATTGGAGAGGCAGCTGTGAGGGCAGCGGAAGCAGTTGGTTATGTTGGAGCAGGTATTGATGTTTACCATGCATGGTCAGAAACTCCTTATTGAGCACTCAGAAATTTGTTCAGGAAA